TTTCTTTTGTTATGGTTTTAAATCTGTTTTCACAGGCTCTGGAGGCCTTTCAGCACGGGATGTGCTGGAAAGATGGTCTGTAGATGAGCTGGATGGTAGGCTGTGGTTTAGTGCTCTCTGTTCCCACGCTTTAGTCATTGGAGACCTACTGCAAAGTGGAATCCTTTCATCTTGCAAGGGAGCAAGAAGAAACCAGTCCTTGACAACTGGTTTATTTTCCAGTGCTTGTCCATGTGTGCCTACCATGCTAGATGAACCACTTGTGTTGCAAAATCTTTTCAGAGCTTGGATTTTAATCTGTGCTTGTTAATCAGGAACAAGGCTTGTCTTATCATTTGCTTTTTTGTTATTTCTCTCTCTTAGGAGAAATATGAGACATTGTAATTGTACTGATTTCTGTCATTATTAGCTCAAAAGCAGCAGTCTGATGTGGTGAAGCACAGTGTGCACCTGAAATGTAGGAAATGTTAATTTAAACTTTTAATTCAGTGAATTCAAAGTGATGATTCCTCTTCAACAGATGTGAGAGAATCTATGCTAGAATAACCAGAAGCCTGGTGGTTAAACAGGTCTACTAAGGACAAAAGACATATTCCCAGTCCATAGCTTGAGTCTTCAGATTTTAGCCCTAAACAGATTAAATCAAGACCTTCTTTCTTAAGAAAATCTCTTCTACTACATCAGGAGGTCAAAAAAAAAAAAAAAAAGAAAAGGATGGTGCTCTGTGGTTGTTTTGAGACAAGTTTTCTGGTCACTGTTATTTACATTCCTAAGTACAGCAGCTAGTTGGACCCTTGGGAAATACTTGGCTAAGGATACGTGTCATAGAAATGAGTTTTGACAGTCATCATCAAACTGGAGAAAAACAAGTACTGAGAATCAGGTATTTAAAGGGTGAAGCAGTGTGTGCCACCAGGTGTGTTGAACTTGTGGACTGTGTTACCAGTGTAGCAGCCAGGACGGGTGCAGAAGGACAAGGCAATGCCACCGGGGACCTTTGCCTGTGCCTTCCACAGCCCATGCTTGCAAGATGGGCTCCACAAAATACACAGGGGAAGTTTAGAACAAAAATTACACTTGACAGTAAGAATTAGGATCCAGCAGACACTGAGAGCTGACTAACTTTGCTATGGAGACTGAGAGATAGATGTCTTTGGACAAATGAAAGAGAAAGATCATTCCCTTTTTTCCTCTTAAAAAGATAACAATGCTCTCTGGCACTAATGTATCCTTTTAGCTTTTGTCTTTTGGTGACTCAGATAAAATTATTCATAGTTTAATTATTTTTAACATATCGTGAGAGAGTAGAAAGTTATTTTCTTAATTAACACAATTGATAATGTTATCACTTTAGCTGTGTTAATTATCTTAAAATGAGCTCTACTAATTCGTTCTATGAGGTGGCACTGGATCCATGGACAGCTTCTGTTTCACTCTACCATTTATCCCTTGGTAAATTCATCTGCTTCTACAAATAATTGCAAAGCTTCTATGTGGTCCATGACTTTGAATATAATATTTGATTCCTTGTGCTCTTTTGTCAAGCACATTAAAGCATTGCGGCCTCACTAACTTTCATAGAGGAATCTGCGCAGCATTTGATTATAGCTCAGTTTCTGTGATTCCTATGGCACATATTACATACCGCTCTTTCTCATACTAGGTAAGTTTTGTCTCTGAGCTACAACAAGCTTGTAGGTTTTTCAGTTTTGTTTATTTTTTGAGAATGATTAGTATTAATATTTCCATCACTCACCTGCAAAGTCACAAAACCACTTTCCTCAGTTCATACCAGTTTGGCTGTTCTACACAAACTGAGTTCATCCGTTTTTGGCAGGCTAACATAAGTACAATGATTACTTTCTTACTAATTAATATTAAGGACTTCAGATTTCGCCATTATCTGCCAACGTTTATCTGAGCCACACAGAAGAAGGCATAATTTGAATCTGGATTAGTACACCTCCCCTGTTTGTAGCTTCCCAATATGTTTTAGGAGTTCACAGGAACTTGCAAGCAATGAAGACTGATACAAGCATGGATCACTGACGTTTATATTAAAATAACATTTTATAGTGCCTGCCTCTAACTTTTAGGGACTGTGGATCAGAACCTTTATAACTTTTATCAGGCATTTGATTCTGTTTTATCTTAAAAAGCAGATCTATAAATAAAACCAACAGAGTTAGCAGTTCAAATCTGGGTTCCTGAAATAATTCATCTGGGAAAATGTAAATCCCTTACTAGGCTTTGTCAAATAGTTTAGAAGTTACCTCTCTGCATATTTTTTGCCCAACATTTAGACACTAGATGCTGATCAAGATTATGCCTTTTCTTGACTTGGAATTATAAGAGGAATAATTATTCTGCCTTGTTATTTACTTCCCTTTTTTTTTTTTACACTCTAAAAGTGAGATTTGATCATCAAATAGAGCTTTATATGGGGGGCATGATTAATTCCTGCCTAATCAAGATGATTAAAATCTTTTAAAACCATAATCTGGCATTAAAGTCCTGCATTATATGTCACTGTAACACTTTTTGTGTAAATCAAGCAAAGTTGGTTTTTATCTTCTTATAGCTGAAACTTATTCTTAATTCGCCAGATATAATTTAAAATAATGAGGAAAGTTTGTGTGTCCTTTTGGAAGTTAGACATTAATCTCCCTTTTCTTTTTACTGAAAATTTTCAAGAAATAATGTGTTCTCTCTGCTTAAAGCCAAGATAAGGTGCCTCTTTTTCAGCAACCAGATAGGACTACTCTGTCATAACATTAACATTTGCAAGTAGGTAAACAACCTATATTGAGCGAAGCAGCAAAATCTGCCATGTTGTAGCGGTCCAATTTGATCAGAGAGGGCTTCCTCCTGCCCCATGGCTGTGGTTTATGTGGGAAACCTACGCCTTTGCTTCTAAGGCAGGTTAAAAATCCCAATGACTGGGCTTCTGGCTGGGCTTAATGTATACAGAAGTTGAAATTTCCTCTTTAAAGCTACTTTTTTTTTTTTTTTTGCATGCTTGTGTAAGTTGGACAAGATTGTCCTTGTGAGCCATCTAATATTGACTTGAGTGGGAGATTTTTGTGTGACTCAGGAAAGGAGCGTGCCCTTAAACACTTTGATATTTATTTATATCAAATCCAAATTGTGCTGACAGGCCCCAGACATGCTTTTCCATTTGCCTCACTTCAACCACCCACATGGTTCAAATGCTGCAGCGATATAAGAGTTGTGGAACCATGCAAGCTGGGGGACAGAAAAGCATCAGGATCCTTTTAAAAGCCAGGTGGAATTTGGATCAAGATCTGCGGCTATGACTGGATGGAGAGGATGATCAGTCTGATTATTTTATTTCCCAGATTCATGCCTTAGTCCACCCTTTTGTACAAGATGGTCTCTTTAGTGTCCAGGCTGCCATACCATGGTACCTAATCCAAACCTAAAAGGTTGCTCTGCCATCTGGAGCAGTGAACAACTTGGAGTGCTTATTCTCCATGGCTGTGGAAGGAGAAAACTGCTTATGAAGTCACCTAAGGTATTTGGTTTTTTAATTAGTCAGCCTTTGCTTTTTTTTTTGCTTTATTGGGAAAAAAAACAACAGAAAAGCGATGAAGCTACTGAACTTTAAAGACTTAGTGCTACTTGGTGCCATATGCCTGGGACACCTCTTGGCTTCTCCCATGTCTAGAGTGGCAATGTGCGTCCAATGATCTGATTCCCTTAAATGAGGCCTGTTTTTCAAAGCCAAAGGAACAGCAGGGAGAGGGTTGTGGGTGCTTTAGGTGTAGGTAGGTGTCATCTGCTATGTTTCTGGCCATACAGGGCTGTTATTTAGAAGACTGTCTGCTTTCAAGATGCAGAAGAGTTAGCAAACGGATGAAATAATGAAACATTTTTTCTCCTTCCTTAGTCTTCCTGCAAATTGGACTTTTGAGGGACAAAATTTAGGGCTTCACAACTTGTCCCAGGTCCCACAGCAAAAAGTATGGAAGCCCTGGTGGTCAAGTGCTAAGTTCCTGCATACCACTCCTGCCCCACCAAGCACTGGCAAGAGGAACTGGGATGACTGAATGTCCTAAACAGCTCTTGGCTGGGTGGTTTCAAACATTGCAGGAATGTTTTTGTCTTATGCTGGAGTTCCTCACTTTACTTCTTCATTTGTCCTGAAGGGGTAACCTTCATGGATGTCTGCCAGATTCTAGTTTTCCCATATCATGGTTGACTTGGTTTATCTTAGCACATTTGACCTCAATAGCCCACTTCAGCACTAAAGGAAATGGAAAGAAAACTCAGTAAGCTTGCCTAGATGAGTCTAGTATTTAATACTTCTGTCTCTTCTTCATAACTGTAATAGACAATTATTGTTTATAACCATAGCCATGTAAAGTTATTTACACTAGAACCCACCTCCTAAATAACTCTAAGGAGAATTTATGACTGTAACTTTTCACTTAACTGTAAAATTTGCAGAGCTACCATCTGTAGACATAGTACCCCTCAGGATATGAAGAAATTGCTGGGACTGTCTTACTGATAATTCCATTTCTCAGGGTTACAAGGACAGTGTGTATAGATAAAGACAACAAGTTCAGAATGCATTAAACCCATTGAGCAATGAAGCTATCCAGATGCAAACAATTGCCCTGCTTGGTTTTTCTGTATTGTCAGTCTTGGGTCATTCTTACACCCAGCTGGAAACATGAAGCTACTTAAGATGTTAAGGGAAGGCACTTCAGAAGCCCTGCCTTGAATACCACAACACACTGGTACCTAGATACTGCTCAGATGGATTACTGTGATGAGTGCCATATGAATAATGACACTCTTGGATAAAGTCATGAAATGAATCATGGCAGGATGCTTTATGTAATTTTGAATTGGATCCTGAAGTGCCCTGGGAGGCGGCAGAGCAGCAATGAAGACAGGAGGATGCATCTGGTGTAAGAACAAAAATATCTTTGCAGCTTCTGGTGGCAGATGTGATCTATTGCAAACTCTATTGTTTTGTTTTTCAGACGCTGACCTGGATATGAATGGGATGGCGTCAGATCACAACATTTCCTCTCAGGAAGAATACCTCCCACACTATCTCCAGAAGGAAGACCCCTTTGCATCAAAGCTTTCTAGAGAAGCTGACATTGTAGCTGGGTTTTATTTGACAGTAATTGGTAATGATTTTGTAATTCATCTTTAAAATATGATGGCATCCTTGCCGGCACTCACAAACAAGGCAGAAGCTGCTGTGCATTAGATGTGTAATTACATATTTCTTCATACTAGAAAGAAAAATCTAGGAGAGAGAGGAGAGACTGTATTAGAAATATAGTGTCAACAGTTAATGTCAACAGACAATGCTGCTCCAGGTAGCCAAATGTAGACCTTCCAGCAAAAAGTAAGAAATCCTCATTTTTTTTCTACTGACAGATTACTAGCTTGCAGTTTAATTGTTCCCGGCAGGAACTGGCTCTTGCCCTTATGCCATGTGGGTTTTATGGCCTGTTTTCAAAGCCTCTCTCATGTGCTTACACAGCAAAGAGAACATTCTCAGATGTGCTCATTTGAATCTTGCTCAGCTCCTGGCATCAGCTGTCCTCTGTTACATATTATATTGAACAATATTTTCTACCTAACCCCCTCCCCTCCTTTTTGCTTTGGAGTCTTTTACCATGTGCAAAGTGACTTTGCAAGCAGAAAAAATGCAATTATTTATTCATTAGTGCACACAGATGATAGCTGGGACTAATTTCTGGTTAAGTATTCTTATACCGAGGAGTTATCATTCATTTGGGAAATTCTGGTCTCCATTGCTTCTAGAGATAAACCAGTCCTTCTTCTCAATGCTTTACCTTCTTTGCTTTATGGAGGTGGGCAGGGTTATATCTTTTTTTGTCAATACTTGCCTCAACATTTACACTTCTTTCTATGGTTTAGGTTTTCTTATGTTTTACGGCTTTAGTTCATGTGATTTCTCACAGCTCAACAGCTGTTTTCTCAGTAAAGCTGAGCCAAGGTCATATAACTGTGTCACAGCAAACTGGGCTCTGGGTAACTGATGGCTGATTACAGGGTATACAGTGTATTCCTTGACATTTATTTCCATTTTGATTCGTTCTCTTGTTCTATCTCTTCTGCATAAAAGACAAAGATCTTTGAGTCTTATCTTCATGTTTCTTATTCACTATTTTACATCCTTCCTTCTTTCTCTTATTGCCTTTCCCCTGACTGATCTAAGTAATCTAATCTTTTCTGCAGTGGAGGTCTCACAAAGTCTTGAATAATGCTTATTTCTCATTTGTCTTCTGCTTGTGTCTTTATCAAAAAAGGCATCCAGAGCAACAGAGATGGCAGGGGAAGCTGCATCTCTGTGCTGTCCTTGGTGTTCATGCCCCATGTCGTATGTGTCCTAGCTTTTCACATATATATATATTTTCTGCTGCTATGCAGACAGATATCTTCACTGAATTGTTCAAAGCAACCCCCCTTTGGGTCACTCAGTAAAGCAAATTTAGCTTTAATCCCAGGAAACATGTCTGAGTAGCTGAAATGAATCCTTCCAATACACACTGTGTGGTCTTGTTATGTTGGCTGTATTTAGTGTAGATTTATCCAGTTCCAAAGAAATAAACCTGCTAGGTGTGAAACATCTTGAAAAACATAGATATAATCAAATTAAAGCAAGGAACAGAAATCATAAACTTCCAGCGAAAAACCAAAAGCTAGCCATGAAGGCACAGACTTAAATGAGCAGTGTGAGGAGACTGAAACTGTAGTTTAAAAAGGACTGTTAATCATTTTGATACTGGACTTATCAGTAAGATTCCCACCCTCCCAGTGTTGTAGACTGGACATCAAACAGTCTGTGGTGGACTCATTGCACCCAGCAGCACAAGCCAGGAAAGTTCAAGCCATAGCTCTGCTGTATACAGGTGTAGCTCTAGCCACCAGATCCTACATTTTGCACTGGATTTAACTTATTTTTTCATGTATTTGTTTTGCATTGCAGTTTACTTTGTTGGTTACTTTACCCTTATGGTCACTACACACTCCAGGAGCAGCTTTCATTAGAGCCAAACATGCCTTTCACATACACATGTAAATGCTATATTTACATCTTCCTTGGGCTTGCATCTATAGCATAAGATGCCACTAGTATCCTGCATAAATATGTAAAATACCTTCTAGTAACTATTGCAATGATTTTAAGCAGTCATTGCTTAGCTGCTTGTCAGTTGTGCCCTCAGCCATTTCAGCAACGGCTACTGGTTTTGTATTCTCTAGACCAGCACAGCAGTGTTTCGGACACTGTGTACAATACAGTAATGGATATTATTTTGCCAGGGGCCCAGAGAAGTACAGAACCCCTCCTTTTATAGGGGTTTGTGTGAAGAAGGAAAGTGTTATGCTTTTTACCAGTAAAGTAGAATTACATCTGAGAGCTCAGCCACTGCGAGAGGGAATTAAACAAAACTGGTGGAAGGAACAATGTCAGGTCTTCTTCTGTGCTTGTGAATAGATGGGGTAAAGTAGTCTTTAAACACATTTTTCTTACCAAAAAAAAAAAAAAAAAAAAAGCCTTACTTGGGCTAATGCTTCTCACATGAGTTGTACCCTACAAGACTGGTTTAGCTTAGCGCCTTGGGGATGCCACCCTTAGCTCCTGTTGATGTGCAGATCCATATTTTATTACCCATTCATGTCTAGGTGGATAGCAACATTTTCGTAAGATCTCAGGCTTGCAAAAATATGAGAACTTAGAAGGAAACTAATCTTTGTTTTTCCCAGTTTTTCATTTTCCACTAAGCTGATTTCTGACAGTTCAAAGCATTCACTTTTGTGTTGAGACATGAAGCACTGCTGTGCAGAGATTTATGGTGGTAGGTAGTGGATCTTAAGGTGGTGGAGAAGGAAGCCTAGCTCTGTGAAACTCTTCACTGACATCAAATTCCACAGAACAGGCTTGCTAAGGCTGTAAATTTGCTTTAATTGGCAGATTTATAGTTAATCACAGCTCCCAGGTATCCAAAACAGTAAGCAAAAACTATGTGCTCAAATAGCTCTTGGGCACAGCGGTGTCTTGGGGTAATTCTGCAGTATTGCACATTTACTTTGTAAACTGTGTAATCTGCAGAAGATGGAAAACTGAGCTGGAGCATTCAAGTCCCGTACCCAGCAAGGGTATGTCTGTGGTTTTTTATTCTAACTTGTGGTTCAGATCAAACCTCACCATTGTCACCTTTTGCCACTCAACTGTGTCCCCTGTTCCTTTGCAGATCCCTTCCAAGAAATGGTGGCCCCTCTTGAGGATATCCTGTGTGGACATCCTGATAGCAGAGAGAGGGACTAGCTGCAGAAAGGTGGGAAGCCAGGATTGCTATTGGGCATCTTTTTGTGCTTGAGGCATGTAAAGTGCAAGTGAGTTTAAAATTTATTTCGAAAGGGGGAAGAAACTGCACAGTGAGCGAACAAGGCTGGGATCCTATCAGGAAACTCGGCAGAGCTTTTAGGGTCAGGCTGGTTGTACAACTGAAATATTGCAATTTGAAAATACAAAAATTCATTTTTTTGTCTTTGAAGAAAATCAGGGGTCTTGACCAATCTGTAATAAATTCTCTGCAAATGTGTGAACTTTTGTCCTAACTACTTCATTTCCGTATGTATCTTTTTAATTGTCTGGAAAAAAATGATCAAACAGTACACGTGGTTATAAAAATCCAATTCTTTTTACTTTGTCTCTTCCCCCGCTAACTTTTTAATCACTGACTTGATTGTTTTACTGTACGGCCAGGTAGGGTGACTAACGACTGAGGGAGGACCTGCTGGCTGTCAGCTCCTTTGAAAACCTGTGGCAAGTAACTATTGATTTGCAAACTGTTGCTGCACGCTTCCTCAGCGTATTGTGAAACAGCTTAATTGAAAACAAAATCCTGAACTGTATTTTTTTTTTTTCTCTCTGATGGTTTAGCACTGCTGTCAGATTGGAGAAAAGGAGTCTTATTTGTTCAAATTGCTACTTTTATACACTCTCACCTTTCGCTGCAGGTTGCATATCTGAACCTGGCTCTTTCTCTGTAGGTCTCACTTTTTTAGTTACCACATCCTCGGCTCTTTGTTGTATATATGTAATAGTGTTACAGTGCCATGGATAGTTGTGCCCTGAAACGTTTGCTCCTGGAAAAGAGCCTTTGTTTTACATCTAAAGAGTCTTTTTTCTCCTGTTTCCAACCCCAGGCTCTGCCCAGGCACACAGCCTGCCAAGACCTTCCAGCGCTGAGAGCCCACACCACCAAGGAGTTCTGCTAGCTGTTAGGAAAATCTTTTTAATAGTAGGAAAAATGAAGAATTAGATGGCTCATCTAAGGAGATTATAAAGTTTCTATCACCAAGGAGTTAAAAAGGATTCAGATAAGCGATTGTCAAACACAGGTGTAGACAAAAGGCAAATTAAATTGTCAGTGGACCCCTTCCAGCTATACGATTAGAAGGTCAGTGGGCTGAGGCTCTCTGAAATGTTGCTATTAATAATGACCAGTTATTTCAGAGGCCTATCTGATGAAGATGTCTATCTGGACTACTAGGCAGTTGAAAAAGATTCAGGAAAATGTCAGATGCTTTCGAAAGGTATTTCAAACTGGATGCTGACACTCTAGATATCCTAAGTATCACTAGAGAGAAAATGGCATTAAGAGAGAAAAGAACTAAGATATATAAAAAATGCTCGTCAACATTGAGATTCATTCACTTAGCTGCAAGGAAGAAAATAATTTGTATAAATACCTGTATCTACTTATAATTCAGATGAAATTTTCAGAGCCATAAGAATAGGATGTTCTTTAAATTTCCTGTTTATTTTTTAAAATAATATAGAAAGCAATACTGACAGTCTAAAAATAAGAAGTTTTTCCAATTAGATGAATGTTGCATTCATTACTGAAAAATTCAAAATCAAAGTATTTTTCTCCCGAGTTTGGTAAACTTTCAGTTCCACAGTTATCCATATTTTTTTTGAGAAATGGTCTGTTTTTAGCCTCTGGGAACCATTTTTCTCTCTGCCTTATGGATGTTCCCAGGTTGTCTTTCTTGGTTACGTGAGGACATGGTACCCTTGCAAAGGGATCGTTCCGTTGGTGGATCCATCCAATAATGAAATACCCATTTAATTACTGAGCTTTAGTTCCTGAGGTCTGGCCTCCCAGAAGACTATGATGAAAATTATTTGGTATTCAAAGGTACAATATTTGGAGAGGGCAGCATTACCAGGCAGCTGAGGGGATGCTGGGGTCTTCTTGAAACATGGAATATGGCTGGGTTTACACCACTGCAGCCACTTGGAGGAAGGCACCACAAAGAGTGACTTTGCTGCCTCATTGATAGAGGAAAGTTGGGTTATTTATGACTTTTTTATAGTAGTATGGAGAGTTGAGAGCCTCAGCTGACAGCCAAGCACCCAGGGCAGCCACCTGCTCACAGCCCCTACAGTGGGACAGGGAGGAAAAGCGAAGAGCAAAAGCGATGGAGATAAAGACAGAGTAGAGGTAAAGGCAGGGAAATCAATCTCCAGTTACTGTTGTGGGCAAAACAGACTCATCATGAGGAATTTAACTTAACATTTAATTACTTATTCTGGTAGTGAGAAACAAAGATGACAAACACAAAATACTTAAGGAAAACACCTTTCCTCCCCCTTTCCCAGGCTGGACTTCACTCCAACATCTTCTCCCTCATTGCTGTTGTAGGTCCCTTTGGTGAGGCAATGGCAGCACAGGAGGTTGGGGTCTCTGCCACTCTTTGCTCTTCACTCTTTACTTCTGCATCTCCCTCCTTCTTACTTTCCTCTGCTCCGGCGTGAGGCCTCCATGGACCACGGTCCCTTTGGGGTGTTCACCTTCGGGTGTGACTCTTGTTTACTGAAAGGGATGTTGTGTGCCATCCTGTGTTTCCACTGCAAAATGCTCACTCTCTGCTCAAACTCTTTCAGACATGATTCAGTGAAAAAACAGTTTTCTTTAAGGGAACTGGAAACCCTGCAATTTTTGGTGCCAGTGTGACTAGCTCCATGGCTGATTAACCACTTGCTGTGTTGGTCCTTGCAAGTCCCTGGATGGTGATGTGGCAAAAAAGATGTCAGCCAACATGAACAGGATCCATCCTCATGCACTGAATCCCAGCTGGAAGTTAAAATCAGATGTATTTTATCATTTTTCTTTCTTACGATATAAATAAACTTTTATTGTAAAATTTAAGATGTGATATTAATACCTTAATTTATATTATTTTAGAAATTTATCCCTCAACCTCTGATTATAGTATTTAATAAAACTAAGGTTGGTTAGAGATTGGGGTCCTTGTGATTAGAGACAGCTGAATTTCATTCTTGTGACTGTATAAATGTTTGTGAGAAAAATGGGGTTGATCAGAACAGAAGAATTATGGGATTTCTATTACGTGCATTCAGTTGATAGTTGTTCAGGCTCAGGTGGTGAAGGCAATGCCCTGCTGCGGAGGGGAAAACAGCATTTGTTGTGGGAGGGACAAGTCTGCAGTACATGTCTCTATGAGCTGCGCAATGAGGGTGAGATGATCATGTTTCAGAGTAAAATGTGTAGCCTTGGAACCACAGGTTCAGACTGAAAATAACAGAATTTCACAAGGAAGATGGGATATTGCTGGTTTTGAGGAGAATTCTAATTTGATTGGTTTTCTTTTTTTCATTATTATAGGTATTCTTTCAACTCTGGGAAATGGGTATGTTATTTTTATGTCCTCAAAGCGAAAAAAGAAGTTGAGACCTGCTGAGATAATGACTGTTAATTTAGCAGTGTGTGATTTGGGCATTTCAGGTAATTTCATGTCTCATTTTCACTCATTTTTACTATCTCACTATTCTTTCTGGCAGCAGTAAGAGACAGTCCTCTGGAAGTCATGGGAGCCCAAAATGCCTTTTGCTACTGATATTTCTACTCTGATATTTGTATACAAATAACAGAGAAGGATAGAAAACAACATTCCTGAACAACCTGATGGGAAGAAATGAAAATTATGGAGGAAAAAATAGGGTTGGATTTATCAATCGGGCAAAACTCCTGTTCAGCCTAGCACTGGGCAGGCCTTCAAAGACAGCTGCCATGTGTGTCCTGGCACAATAACCACAAAATAGCTTGGTATTACTGTTGAAGAAAATTATATTTTCTAGCTGTAGGATGTATCATGAGGCACCCAGGCGGCTCAAAAATACCTATTTAGCCAAATCTGAGTGGGGATGGGTGTGAGGGGAAAAAATTGGAAAATGCCAGTGGCCATCAGCCTATCAAAGCTAACAGTTTTCTCTCTAGTGGCTGCCCTCTTTTATCTCTGAGTCAGGAAAATAAGCATTTGTGTCAATCGACAGAGTAAGAGCAACATCAGCCAACTGGAGTGATTTTTATTTCAACCCCACTGCCTGGATGCCCTGACATGAATACAGGGAGCTTTGGAAAGGTTGACATGAAGTTGCAGAGTCAAGAGTCTTTGGAGATCTTTCTTTGGGCTCTTGACATGAGTCTCATTCAGCTGCTCATGACTACATGCAAATACAGAGGGAGGACTGTATATCCTTTAGAAAAGGATATTTTGGTTGGTAGACAATCCAAGGGGTATAAAGACCTGATGTGACTGAGCTAACGATGGGATCTCCCCAGTGCAATATAAATGACAGTATGTTCCCATGCTCCCAAAGTCATCTGTCCCCTATGTGTTGCATACACCGGGACCCCTGCCCTCAGCTCCAGTGCGCCCTTTTCCTGGCCTTGTCTCTGCCAAATGCTTTTGCCCTCATCCAAATGCCTAAAATAGCACTGAACAACATAAAATGTTGGTGCTCAGCCTCCCATAACCAGTGCTCGTTGTGCTCTCACTGCACACGGTCAAGGAGCTGCTCACCCCTTCGGCTTCCAGTAATTTTGATGCCTCTTGGTGATCAGTAAACATGGTTTTCTATAGGAGATACTTAAGAATTCAGCAGAAGAAAGATGTCAGTATAAATATCTCTGCTCTGCTACCACACAAAGTCCCAATGATTTCTTTGGCATATCTGCCATGGAGACATCATTTCCATCTTGCAGCACTTAGATGTGAATTAAAAAAAAAAAGAAAAAAGACCAATTTTTTTTGCCTCTTCTGTGATGCTCCCAGCTTCTTTGTGTACTATAAGTCGGTCTTGTTTTATAAGGCTCATATCTGACTCCAATGAGAGTCGTTCCAATGAGATGAAGTGTTTCAGGAGAATTTCCATAGCTATTATTTGGAATGTTAACAGATATCTCCTAATCACATAAGCTGTATGTCCTGACCATGGAAACCACAGCTTGTTTGGGAGCCCTCTCAGCATGAGGGCTGCTAACTTCTTTGTTAACATCTGTCACCAGCATACCACTTGGTCACCTTGTCTTCCATGGGGATCTCAGTCTACCTGTCTGTTTAAGTTTTGTAATTATAGATAATTGACATTGGCTCAGCCATGTATACTTTTTCTCCCTTCTCTTTCTTTTTTTTTTTTTTTTTGTTGATGGAAGATGTTGACTTGAGAAATGTGATCTGTCCTGTCTCCTGGACTGATTGGAGTGAAGATGGGACTTTTTCCCAAATCTTCGTATTTCACACACTTGTCTTGGCACCTTGTTCAACAAACAGGTTCTGCCATGGCCCTGCTTCCTGCAGATTTCCACAGGATGGCACCAGCCACTTGTTCAAAACTGCATCAGGCTCATTTTGCACTGATACCATGCTCCGAGTTCTGTGCCGCTGAAGAGAAATTTGATTTTGTGCAAATAAATGTGTTGGCCTTTAGAACTGGCCATGATTTACAGGAGTAAAGTTGCTGACTCCTAGCATATATCCTAGACCTTGCCATAATTCATATTTTTCTTGAAACCTTAATCACTGGGGTCAGCTTTTGCTTGAAAAATTAAAGTACATTTATTCTGCTTGGAGAAAAGCACGTAATATATTGACCTGAGCACAACCTTCAGGCTCAGGCAGAATTTTCCTTGCAGGCTCAGGCTAAAGGAAAAGAATCCCAAAATATCTTGTTTAAAAATAAGTCTCGTTTTGAAAAGTTTTCAGTCAGGATGCTTTTGGCATAGAAGATGGGGCAAAGGCCATTTTCTGCAAGATTTTGTTTTGGTAGAAATGTTTTAATTTTCTGTTAGGAATGAAAACAATGTTTAGTTTTGCATCAGCTTGATCTGAAATGGAATATTTTTGAGAACAATCCAAAATATTATTCTACAGATGACTTCAACAAAATAGAGACTTTTCTCTTGACTTCTATTTATCTTGTGAGAATTACAGTTTGCAAGATCATTTTTATGTTCTTTATAAACCAATTCACTGAACTGCCATGACTTTACTGACAGTGTGGTTCTGCCAGGGAAACTAGCCCAGGGCAACTGAGATGTTTTCAAATCCTTGAGGTGCTCTGGAAACTCTTGTGCAGGAAAGAATACAGTCATAGGAAGGTGGAGTTCAATATTTAATATTATTTGAATATTGCAGTTGAACAGTTCAGGCCTTAGAGCATTTCAGGTCAGTCTTGTAAGCAGAAATGAAGGATTTGGAAAACATGCTAATGTTCCTATATGGTAAATTTTTGAGTTTTCTGTTTCATTAAAGTTGATTTTTTTTGTTTCTTCAGTTTGAGACAAAAAAAATAAATAATCAGGAAGTGGAGATTTCCAATTAAAAAATTACAATTTTCAAACTTTCTTATTTTTGTGATACTTAGAAAGAATATGAATAATGTTAATCTGTTTTAAGGTGAGAAGGGAACAACATATGACTTCACTTCTTTCATAATGCACCACCCACTTCTACAAATGGAGAAATGAGCTAAGGTGCCACTAGGACAGAGTCTCCAAAATAGTTAGGTATTTTCCTTCTGTTTGGGAATGCTTAAAGCTTTTTAATATCTGTGGCCAGGTGACTTGCTGATGTGTGACAGGAAGAAAAAAGTATGGACAGGAGCTGAAACCACTTCTGCAGCTCAAATCCTTGCTGCAACCGCAGCACCATCTTCCTTTCTAATCTAACACTTTACCATTTTACCTACTGTTGGGCCTTGATAAGTCCTCTTTGAAGGCAAATTTCTTTATTCTGTGTTAGAAGACACTTGATTGATTACAGGGGTGTAGCCTAACTGGATCTGTGCCTATTTCAAACCCAGACTCACCCATCACCCATACTGTTTACATTCTGGCATGTGTTTGCCTGTGGACTTAACACATACTCTGAAGTTTTCATAATGGGAAGAGCTTGCATGTGCTCAGTACCAGAGTATGGGTTTATTTCTGGTTCCTGTGGTCTGCAGTCAAGCACCTGTTCCCAGCCATTCTGCAGGCTTGGCTCATCCCACCACAGTATCGACGCTATGGGATTTAGGTACAGCTGTCTTAAGCTTAGTCCTGTGAAAGGAGGGCACCCAATTCATGACATCTGTTGTGCCTGAAGCTCTCTCTCCATGTAGCAGAGCATTTTTACTGGTATTAGCTTTGGGTAAAGGGGATGGTTTACTTTTCTGAAAAAGGGTGGTTTTATCAGTGGTGGATTTTATCAGTCGACTGACATTCTTGTCTCCTTTTGAAGTTGTAGGAAAACCCTTTAGTATCATTTCCTTCTTTTCTCACCGCTGGGTGTTTGGCTGGATGGGCTGCCGCTGGTATGGATGGGCTGGTTTCTTCTTTGGCTGTGGGAGCCTTATTACCATGACAGCTGTCAGCCTGGACAGATACCTGAAAATCTGCCACTTGTCTTACGGTAAGAAAGAAAACAGTTAAGTGACTATAGAAAAACTCTATTAAGTGGTATAGCTTTCTAGAGTGAAATCGTACTTAAGTTCTTCAGAATGCTTTTGTTAACTATAGAGGAGAATACACAGATTAGAGAAATATATTTGCCTGATCCAAGTAATCCCAGCTAAATTGGTATTGCTGGACATATCACCTTCACTGTTGTCTCTGTGCTGTCTGCTTAAGCCATGAGTTCTAGTAATCACTCATAGATAAATCACTTCGTGTCTATCAAGGCCTATTAACATTAACACACGCAAGTATTGCACATGTTGAAAGGTCTAACGGACCGATACACAAAACTATTCCTTATTAGATGCTTAAATTCCTTTAAGATACGTGGCAAGCTATTTAAAACATCTAAAAGATTTGGATGTGCGATAGATCATAATGTGGTATCGTGTCTCTAATATGGAGACGGAACCTGAGAGGATGAAATGAATTTAGCAATGAAAGCTGCTATCACCATATCCACCAATATCTTACATTTCTTGAATATGATGTATTATGTGCTTAATTCTTTCCAGTTAAAAGATGTCACAATTTAGAAAAGAAGTTTTTCTTGCAGTGGAAAGGACCAACTCCCCAACAAAATACGGGGAGTACTCAAAGTACAAAGACTTTACATATAAGAAACACCTTGCCCATGTGACTTGAGGGACATACAACAGACTTCATTATAATGACATACAGTGTCAATCATGTAATGTTAAGTTATAAGAAATGTTTGCATCCAGGAAGTATAAATAAGCTAGTCTGTTCGATAGCTGAGCATGTTATCAACTAAAAGCTGTGGTACTGTGCTAAGATCTGCTATCGTAGACTCTGGCATGTCTATACTTTTTCCTTAAATGTGAGTGCAGGGAAGGTCTGCTTACCTGAGTTTAAAATACACCATTCACATTAAGTAGGATTTCAATTCTTTCTGTAAAAGTGTTACCAAAATAATTCAGGGCAACCCAAATCATAGAAAATTTTTCACAGACTTGGTGAGCTGAAGTAAATATTTCATGGCCTGTTGCACTCATGCTGTGAGCTCTGGTATTTAGTATGACATCCTAATTCAGGAGAGACAGAACACTTCAAAATCTTTTTTTCTCAAGAGCTATCTGATCGTGGTTGTCCATACAAAATAATGGAGAAAAATAAACACATTTAGCATGTTCAATCTAGGTTGTTAACTTGGCCATTTTCTGTATAAGGCCTAAATCAGTCATCAGGAACCTGGAACACCTGACTGTATACCCACACCTTCATTCTACTCCAAAAACAGCAACTGTTTTTTGGGCTTGGGTGTGTTGTGGGGATTTTTTTTGGTATTCATGTATTCTAGTATTCATGTTATTCTTGCCTTGTTTTTTCACACCTGAACACAACAAACCACCTTCCTGTCTCTCAGCCATTGTGCTTTAATACATCACTTGTCAGTCAGTGTTCATTTTCGTTCCAGTGATCTGGAAATGTAACATCAACTGGGGAAGGGGCACTGGTCACATCCAAATTACAGTTGTTTCTATGCTTTGGTTTTGTTTCCAGTCATTCTCTAGCCCTGAAGAGAGCTCCTTAATGTTGGTTGCTGGGGAATAAAACCAGATTAGAGCTTCCAAGGTGGAAGGAGCTATTATAATATCATAGTCTGAGTTTCTGCATAAATCAGGCTTCAACATGTTAGTCCTATCTGAATCCAACATGTTGAACATAAGTGATGATGGAAAGTTTGTAAACTGAAAGTTTTTCTAGACGAATTAGAGTTGTATGCAAGATGAACAGAGATACAATATTCCATTCCACAACTACAGGTGTGCCATTAACATTTAATAAAAACAATGGGCAAGGATATATGAAAACACCCTTACAAATACTTCTGACAGTACGCACATGGTGATTTACTGTACTGGAAAAGAATGACAAGGTAAAAATAAATATTGAATACAATATTTCCTCTGTAAAACCTTGTCCATCAGTCACTTGGATTAATAATTTATGTTGAGAACTGTCCTAAAATCAAACTTTAGCCACTTAATATATGACATGAGAAACAGGAAATAAGGTGTGTTACGTTATACAGTTGCAGCTAGTGAGCCTTCACACTGAATAATGAAAGGCTGAACTAAACATAGTCCTTCATGTGGTTTTAACCTCCATCTCATCTGACCACACACTATGAATACACCTTTACAGGCCACAAAGCAATTTTCAAAATTACTAGACAAGATTCCCGTGATTGTTGCTGAGCTAGTTGTTTGGATTGCTTTTCTATGGACTCTTCTAGGCTGTAAATCATAACAGCCGAGAGTAAAAATCTGAAATAAAGTCAAGTGGAGTCCTCCATATGAGTGTGCATTTCTTTTCATGAGGTACAATGGGAGCTGGGGTGGCTAGCTCAGAGATCACTAGTGATACCTGGAAAAAGGCAAGATGAACTCTACAGCACTGTTGTCAAACAGCCAAGAAAACTCCTACTGCATGTATAGAATGACATATTCAATTGTGCCAAATACATATGGACCTGAACTTGTAACTCTTGAATTATTTTCCAGGTACATGGCTTAAGAGACATCATGCATTTATCTGTCTGGCAATAATCTGGGCATATGCTACGTTTTGGGCTACGGTGCCTTTTGCTGGTGTGGGGAGTTATGCCCCCGAGCCATTTGGGACCTCCTGCACTCTGGACTGGTGGCTGGCACAGGCTTCAGTGGCTGGACAGGCTTTTATTCTGAGTATTCTTTTCTTTTGCCTTCTGTTCCCAACTGTGGTGATTGTGTTTTCCTATGTTAAAATAATTTTAAAAGTCAAATCATCCACCAAAGAGGTTGCTCACTATGATACCAGGATTCAGAACAGCCACATACTTGAAATGAAGCTGACCAAGGTAGGTAGGAAGAGTTGACTTGCTTTGCTTTGTTGGGTTGTAAAAGCAGCCTTGGAGAACTCCAACCATGTACTCTGCTATGCTGAGTGATAGTACGATGCTCTGAAGGTGGTTATTCTAGCTTTCTCCTCTGTTACTGTCAAGATAGGAAAAGACAGGAGTTGAAGCATGATTTTGTGATTAGGGCACTTGAGTCTCTGAGATTGTGATTCACTCTGAAGCTCTGTCATAGCCTTCCTATGTGACCTTACAGAAGTCCTATCATCTCCCTGTGGCCCTGCTTCCCATCATAAAGCTCCCCTTGATTTCAAAAACAGTTGTAAAGAATTATTTTAAGGCATTCGGGGTGCACAGGAATTATAACAGAAAAACAGATAAAAAGCAGATTATTGTAGCAGGGAAATAAAAACTTCAGACAGCTTATGTTCCTCTGTTAATGAAGATATAAACCAAAGTCACTTCTGTGATGTTGCAATTGTTTTTATGCAAATAATTTACCATTTATGTTCAGCCATGAGCTGCTGATAAAAATGCACTCGAGTGATAAAATTAATTTTCCATCTCAGACCATATCCTGTTTTCCCTTTCTGATTGACTTTATTTTCTATTTGGCAATAGTGACAGCCATGATCCTTGCTGATACTGGTTATTGTGCCAGGAAATCTCTCAAAATAAAAACTTGTACTGAACAAATCCAGATTCCTCAGTTGTAGAAGATTCATCAGCCTCTGTAAGCCATGCCAAGGGGAAGATGAGCTGCATCTTTTGCTTGGCTGATCAAATTTTATTACATTTTTGAGAAGCTGAACTGGAAGTTATATAATATATGGCAACAAGTGACATTATGCCTAAATATCAGGGAATCTCAGCTAGCTACCTGTATGGTGAGCGCTGTCAATACAGTTGTTAAAACTGTACTTGCCTTTGAAAAAGGATGCTTCACTGTGGTACTGTTTTGTGATTACTTAGCACCTTTCCTTTGAAGAACAATGGAAAGCTTTTGTTTGAGGTCGCAATTTTTTTTTTGCCATATTAGAGGGATCATGTAAAACTTCAATGTGATTTGAGTTGAAACACAAGTAATTGTCCATTCTGTCTTGGATCTACAATGAACATAATGTTGGGATATATATAAAAATATGGAAGATGAGTCTCCATCATAACCCATTTAACTCCACAGCACAATTTATAACAAACAGGCTGTGTTTGAGATCCTTGCCTCACGTGCTCTGTTTCTTCAGTGTCAGACAACAAAAATAAGTATAAAAGGATGAAGTTTCCCTGAAAATAGTATTTCCACCAAGACGTGGAACCAAAGGCTCCACAAACGGTTATGCAATATCCAAAAACTTTGCACTTTCTGATGATTTTTTGTTGTAATCCTGCTAATTCCTTATTCCAAATGAGTGCACAAGTACTACCTTAAGTCTGTATGTAGTCATTGTTGATGGCAGCAGTATAATGGAATATGTTCTTCAGAATGTACTATTGCATGATGTCATTTGAAGCTATACCAGGCTGCGACTGTGTGCAAATAGGCTGGTTCAGGTAAAGTACCCTCCTCTGAGCAACCTTATCTAGTTGGAGATGTCCCTGCTCACCGCAGGGGGGTTGGACTAGATGACCTCTAAAGGTCCCTTCCAGCCCAAAGGATTCTATGGTTCTATGAAAGTATATAAAACACAAATTTTGGCCCCAAACAGTTTTTCTTTAGTATCTATACTAAATATTCCTATAGCTACATTTCTTCATGTAATAAGGAAGTCCTTTTCTCATTTACTAGGAATGCAACCTAAATGTTTGGTAGAAATTTGCTTTATAAAGCATCCACAAATTCTAATGGAGTACAAATCCATGCTGTGGGTTAGAAGAAAGAAAACTAGGCATTGTACTAGCATTCTCACTCTCATTTAAATTTCCAGTAGTAAATACAGTCATTTTTTATCTGCCGGAGTGGATATACCCAGAGACTTGACAGCTTATGCTTTATTGCATGACTTTATGCTCACTTTTCCCATATTTGTCTCGAAAGGGATTCAAAAGATTGGCATTTTTCCAGTGGAGGATTGACCATAGACCCCCTCCTGGCTACAGGCAGAAGATAGACCTAGTTTATCAAAACTCCTCTGCTTCCCCCTATTACCAGTGGCCATCCTCATGGCAGGTTATTGGTCCTACTGGGTTTTGACACCTCCTCTGTGGGACATCAGCACAACCCACAAGAGAAGAAGAAACCCTGCATTAGGTCAGGGTGTTGTAATCTCTTCTCTTTTCTTCTTTTCCTAATTTCCTTTGCTTTTGCCTCAGTGAGTGGTACTGAGTGATACAGATGAAGCGGCTATAGTAGATACAGACAGGAATATACCCTCCTAAACAAACTCACCTACAGAAACACTCAGGGTCCCTCACTTCCATACACCATCAGGACCTAATTCAGTCCTGGAAACTTCTTCAAAGACTTTGAATTTATGAACTTTGGAATCTGATTTCAAAGGACCCAGAATCTGGAAGACTTGCACTTAATAATTTTTCTTTTTTGTTTTATTTTCCCAGAGCATGCTTGTTTCACTCTGGAATGGAAAAGAGACTGAGTTTCTTTTTGACAATCTGAGGAATATTTGATTGGAAGTGACTATAGAAGTGAGAAGCTCCTCAAATAAGCAAGAAAAAGAAAAAAAAAACACATAACAAAACAAGAAGAAACCCTGTAGGAAAAGTTTCCAGTTTAACCTGTGTTCATTTCAAATATCTTGCTAAGATTTGCAAAATCTTTCACAGCTCTATGTTACATATCATCCTAAAAAGGAGAGTCGGTTTCGAAAGGACTCCTCTTAAATAATTCAAATCTATGTCAAAGAATTTTTATTTTCTGAGATCTCATTTAGTTTCTTCATGTTTAGCCAGACCTTACAGCATTTTTAAAGGTCCATGATAACAGACTTATTAACTGCTCTATGTCAGGTGAAAGAAAACCAGGCGCTAGATAAAAAGAAGAGAAATGCGTGACAGCTTTTGTTCATATTGTAAATTTATCTGAAGCGAGTTATCATTTTTCTTTCCCATCCTGCAGCATGTTCCCTTGCATTCTGCCTAGCTCTGTGCTGTGCTCTCAGTGTCTGACTCTGCTGGATTAACCTCTTTCTCTCTTTCCTCTTTTCCTCTCACAAGGTGGCAATGCTGATCTGTGCGGGGTTCCTCATTGCCTGGATCCCTTACGCTGTGGTCTCTGTGTGGTCAGCCTTTGGACAGCCGGATTCAGTTCCCATTCAGTTTTCAGTGGTACCAACTTTGCTTGCAAAGTCAGCAGCCATGTACAACCCAATTATTTACCAGGTCATTGATTGTAAGTTTGCCTGTTGCCGATCAGGAGGATTGAAGACACTACAGAAGAGCTCTTTGAAGAAATCAAGGTAATTTCTTCTTTGAGAAGTAGTATATCTTTAAGTACGTAATGTTCCAAAAAGTACCAAACTAAGAGTTAGCAAGAGTCACAACTCTTTGAATCTTTTTTCTTGTGTTTGACCATGACCTATTCAGGGTCTTTCTTGCCATGGAAATTTGTAAAGTGACTCTAGGTGTAAAAAGAGAAGCAAGGAGATGGTTTGTACTTTTAGATCCAACTGCAACTCCGTTGATATAGTTGGAAAAAAGTTCCATTGGTTTTAGTGAGTTTTGGATCGGTCCTGTTCTCCTTTTCCTTTCCTTTCATGTCATCATATGGATTACCTCCAGAAAGTGTTGATGACCTCATTGCCAGTGAAGTAAATGACAGAGAATTGTGTTAATTCCTTATATAATTGACCTGTTACTACTATGTCTTTCATCCACAGAATTATCAGGGAGAGATAATAGTTCCTTAATCACACTGTAGCTACCACTGACACCAAAAAAATGCCAGAACAAAACAAATCAAAATGTAATAAGGTCCCATAAAAAGACCTTTTTTCTATTTACAACTTTCTGGCAAAATCTGTGCCAACCACCAGTGGAGCCTCTGGAAACACTAACTGTGCATTTGGAGGAAAAATGCTTCTAGTTCTGTCTTATGCCAGAAAAGCATCTTACTTCTGTGACTGAACAGCAATGAGATAAAGATGAATGTTAATCTGACAGTGTAGACTGGTATAAAGACCACAAATGCCCTACCACATATAAATGACTGTGAATCTGCACAATTCCGGTAGAGTAATTTGCTTCAAAATCCTATAATATATGTGCCTCTGTACGTACTTCTTAGAGGCATGAAGGCCCATTTCATCATTTGTATTATTCCCTTACCAATTCCAGCATTTTTTGATGTATTGTTCAGAGAATGAGTCAATATCTCAAGCTTCCACAGCTTCCCTTAGCAGATGGTTCTATAATCGTACAATTGGGTTTATCTCATATGCAAAACATACAGAGTTTATATATGTTGTAAGTGTTTGAGGTGCTGAATTTATAGTTTACCAAAAACCCTTTTGCAGTTTTAGACAAATGGGGGACAAACCTGAAGTAGCCTTCAGTGAATCTTTGGCGGCTGGATTTATGTTTAACCTCCACATTAACACTCCAAAGGAGGAAGGAGGTCTTACCTAGTCCCTCATGTTGAATACAAGTTGGTTTTCCTAGGCCTATACAGTGAATAAAATGATCTGGAAAAATCACTTCCCAGAATTAGGAACTTAACTGTCAGCTTGGTATGAACAAACTAATTGTTGTGCTTTCTCCTTACCATAGGATGTATACCGTATCTGCACACAGAGACTCGACGGCAATGAATGAAACCCAGCTGGAAGTATGAAGCTCATTTCACATACAGCAAACGAAAACCTGATTACAAACAATCATACTGTCTCAAGTTCCTCTTTCTGTAAATAAATTAAAACATGATGACAGTTTTACTTTACTCTCTAGTCCTATGTGCAATATAGTTCTTTCCATCGTGACCAAAATAGTGCGATTAGAGCTGGGCAAATATTTTAGGTACACAGAGGAAGAAGAAATAGAGGACATTCATTTGTATAAAAAATTTTTATTCATTTCAGAGGCTTTAAAATACTACTTTTTTTTTTTAAGCACTTAACAGAAATGATAGTTTGGATGATATTTTCCCTCGCAGAAAGGGAAGTATTCACAAAGACCAGTTTTAGTTTGCTGAAGCTAATCTCCCTAGATTCCTACTGCAGTCACTGGAGAACTGGCACATAAAAGAAAGGATTCCTTAGAGGACAAATCTGAGTCAGAGCTTCACTTATCAGGTCTCCGAATCACCCGCTGGAGAAACATTAGCCCACTGATTATCCCTTGAGAATATCTCTCCAACTCATGTGGCTACAAGCTATCTTAAAACCACTTTGACTTCAGTCCTTCAATATCCAGAAATACTTTGGTTTTAGTCAAGGCAAGATCAGAAGTGCCACACTCATATACCACAGACGGTCACTATTTGTGAATGAGAGGGGAAAGGTCTCGCTCAAATGCTAGTTTCATTTAAACAATTTGGAATCATGAACAACTTTGTAATAAAACCACCAGAACCTAAATGAAAACAGCCCCATACAAGCCAAACTGAGCAAACCAACAGTTTGCACATCTTTCTATCATTCTCTGACCAAAATTACAAAGAAATGTCATGGCAATAAGCAGACAGGTTTGACTTCTTGAATGGTAAATGACTTTTTTCAACTTGTATTGTACTTTTCACCATTATTTATGAGATCACTATTTAATATAAAATGACAAATCCTTCCTCAATCCTAAGCATGAAACCAGACCCAAAACAAGTGAATTAATGAGAAAGGTTACAGCACAGGTAACACAGGAGTCTTTCTCAAGTGCAGTTGCATCTAATTTTTGAACACTAAGCCCTGGAAGGATGAGGATTAGGAATGATTTAGGACAACGACAATCTTACTAAGACAAAGCTTGTGAGTTCCTAATACACGCAATCGAAAAACAATGTGTACTGGAAAGACCTGCAGGGTAAGGCAGCCAAAACAGTTGCATTGGATCTGAGCCATGATTATTCCCATTCTCTTTTCCTTTTTTTGGATTTAGCTTAAGGTAGAGGCATTGTTAGAGATCATAAATTAGCAGTCCAGTATAAGCAAATTTTTAATGCTTAAAATAATAATTTTGATGTTTGTATGTTATTTTTTGGGGGAAGAATATGATAGTATAAAAAAAAGTTAATTGCAAATCAAAGAGTCTCCCACAGAGATTTGTGTTGAATGTTCGCTAAAAAGAAAGAAAGTTATGAGGACTGAAGTTTTCTTCTGAATTGTTCTTTTAAGGAAAGAAAGCATTTATGAAAGAGCTTCAAATGTTTTCCTGTTTAACATTTAATGATGCTTTTTATCATACTGTTATTTCACAATTGTGTTTAACATGCATTCCCTGCCATACTGAACTGAACTTCTTTTGTAGCTGATCTGGAGTGATGTTAATCTTGTTTTATAAGATAATGTCATCAAGGTTTAAAGTAATCTGATGTTTGTTGGCATGTCCCAGCACTCCCATTCTGCAGTGCAAAGAGTTGCTATTTTCACAAATGATATTCAGGTAATGTAGGAGAAGTTGAATTTTGTTGAATTTCCTAAGCTGCATGGAAGAAAATATTGTTTCCTCCTCTGCAATATTTTAACAAAAGAAGATTGAATAAATACTAGGAGAACTCACAGACATACAAGGAGTTGCCATGTTACCTACACAAAGTTTTGTGCTAATTTTTCCCCAGAAGTTGAGTTCTTTCACTTCTATAAATCTTTCATTATAAGGCAAGTTTATTTCTTGACTATGATTGCAAGTTGAGTCCAAGAATTGATCCAGAGCAGAAGGCATCTTTTATAATATTTCCGGATTTGGTTATGAAGCCTTTAACGATCTTCCCTCCATTTTCCTGCAGCTTTTATTCTTTTCTTCATCTAGGCAAACTTTGGTGGTTATCTATAGATGTTTATCGTAACTGAAGTCTGATGTAAGGCAGACATACTGTGGCCCTATAAATGTAGATTAGTTTAAGCAGATCCTCTCCAGACTAGGAGTTACCCACTAGTCTGGCCAGATTTCAGGGTGGGTGGATCAATTAACAGTTTGTGCGTTAATCCTTCCTGTAGTTTCAATTGGGGAAACTTTAATTTTTATTTTTTTTTTTAAATTGTGTACTCTCTTCAGAATTGCTCCTGGGTCATCCCAGAAATGGATACATACTTGTGGTAAGGCTGAGTTTTATGTTCTTAAAAACTGTAAAATATTTTTGGATTCCACTAGATACAAGTTCTATTTAAATAGTTCAGAGGTTTAGTTAGCTCTAAATATGAGCTTCTGAAATCATAAGAAACATATTTCATGCAATTTATTCAAAGATACTTTTTTTTTTATTCAATGTCATAAATATAATTTTTTGAAGACACAGTTTTACCATTAGTGAGTAGTATCTTGCTCTGTAAGAAACACTAGGACTCCAATTTGAGCAGGAGTTAGAGACAGGTTTATACTGAACATGTGTTCAAGTGAAAGATGTTTTCCTGAATCAAGCAAGGCATAAACATTCAAGTATGTAGTACTGTAGTTTAAATGGAGAATCTGAACCTAAGAGCTCATGGGTCTCATTTGATTCAGTGATAAAAGAGAACTGGAGCATCTGCTTTGTCCACCTGTATAAAGCAGATTATACAAATAGTTCATGCTCAGTTTGGGATCACAATGGTAGAGGAATAAAGGTATATATTATGGATTCAAATTTTCAAAGCCAACTTTGAATTGAATTGAATTGAAAGCTGTAGCCTGATGGTTCAAAAAGTACTAGTTTGCCATTGATGCTCAGGACAGAGTTTTGTTCTCTCCATGTGTCTGGTAACTGATGAGACATGTAACCTTGGTCTGAGATCACTAAAAGACTGTGGATCTCTCATTTTCTATTCAAGAAATGTTCTAAATGTTTGGCGAGATTCAGCTTAGGTTGTTTTGTGATCTGCACTTAGTCAAAGCACCAACAAAGTAAAAACTACTCAGTGTGATGAACGAGTAAGGTATAAGACTCTGAAGGAAGATTTCTTTATTGCATTTTCAATATTTCAACCCCCTTGTTATATTAAGAAAGTTCCTTGTTTTATGTATTAACATTAAACCAAATGTTTTTCAATGAAAATAGTGCCATCAAGAATAATACCTATAAATGAGAATCTTTTGTTATGAATCCTATGTGCACATTCAGACTGAGCTGCCAAGAAGCAAAATACTATCTGAATTCACTGTCAGTGGCTTGGAGGAAATAATCGACACAGGTTAAGACTCCATTTAGATAATGAGATGACCCAGACAGTAAGATTGTCCCCGTGAGAGTAAGCCACTGCTCTGTATTTCAAGGCTGTAGACAGAGAAATTATGCAAAGAAGCATGTGGCTGTGGAGACTTTTAATTTGGTCATTTTTGGTCATACGTGAAGAATGCCTATAAATCTTCTTCTACAGACTTGGAAATCTAATGACAATGTAGAACTGTCAAGTGAAGAAACACTTGAAATAAGGGAATTAAGCAAACTTTTATAACAGAAAAAGTTGAAAAAAGTAAAACACTAAAAATGAAAGTTATGGTTGTGAGTTTTCAGAAGAGAGTAGAGAGCATTTGTGCATGTAGGTGAATGCCACTGTAGCAAAATTTATTTCTACGTCTGTAATAATAATGATGAAAACCCAACCCAACAAGTGGTTTTAAAAAAATATTTATGGCCTACAGTGCAAGACAGCAACCAACAGAAGGTTTTTGGCTTTGTGGCATGCAAAAGGAAAGAGAAAATTGATGTGTCTTCATATAAAAAAGAATATGATTGAATTGACAGGCATAATGCTAGTGAATTGGATTCTTTGATGGAACTTTTCTCTTGGCTGACTGTGTATGGACAACGTCTTTTGGAGAATGTCCTGCCTCCAGTATCCAGTGTTATCTTGGTCATGAGAATAAATGTGAATTGCTCTTAACTGACCATGCACTTAGTTATTCTGTAATTCTACATTATTCATTTTATGATTGTGTTTCTACCTCTTCTTCCCAACAGGGAACTTTCAGACACATCAATCTTCATCCCTCAGGAAAGCTGCTTTGACATCTTTTTAGTTACATTTCCCAGCTCGGGATGTTCCCAGATGAGTCTTGCCCTGGGTAAGAAGCTCTTAACAAACAACGTTCACCGCAACACCCATTTCTCACCTTCCCTTCTCCCAAGACAGACAGATGTTTGGTTGATTTTCTCCACATCCCCATCTTTCCAAGTTTCACAAGCCTTTGTTGTTCTTCAGCCCCAAGGAAGAACATTTAGCCCCCTCAAACTAGAATTTCTGGAGAGCTGTTGCTGAGCAATGAAGGGAAGAGGCCTTTATTATCATCACCATGTTTACATACGTTCTTGATCCATTGTACATCCCATACTGATCTGTCTCTTATTTACAACCTTGCTTTTCAGGGTGACTTGTATTCCCCTTTACTTGGCACATGGTGTATACAATGACAGGGCTATTTTTGTAATCGCCCAGTATGATCTTTGCTTCCCCAGTTATACCTCTGTTTCCTTTTGTAGATGGTGGAGCGGGTCTTGGACCTACTGGTGAGATCAAATTCTTTTGAAATAGAAGGCTTAGTTACAGGTTTTCATGCTTTCATTACTTCTGAACTTAAAGAATTCTTCATTAATTATGTATTTATGAGCCTTTATCAGTCACTGACTGTAGTTTTGTGTCTCAAGTGGGTAGAGAAGAAAACCCCAGAAAATTGCCACCTAATTTGTTAGAGAGCTATTCTAAGAGAGGCATTCAGTATCAAATCAGGTAACTGCAACA